CACTCCAGCCTGGGCAATAGAGCAATACTCCATCTAGAAAAAACACAGGCTGGCCAAGCACACTGGCTCACGCCTGCAATCCCAGCACATAGGGAGGCCGAGGCGGGCGGCTGAGGCAGGCAGATCACGAGGTCAGGAGTTTGAGGCCAGCCTGACCAACATGGTGAAACCTCATCTCTACTAAAAATACAAAAATTAGCTGGGCATGGCGGCACACACCTGTAATCCCAGCTACTCAAGAGGGTGAGACAGGAGAACTGCTTGAACCTGGGAGGCAGTGGTTGCAGTGAGCCGTGGTCATGCCACTGCACTCTAGCCTGGGTGACAGAGCGAGACTCAGTCTCATTTAAAAAAATATATATATATATGGCCGGGCACGGTGGCTCATGCCTGTAATCCCAGCACTTTGGGAGGCCAAGACAGGCGGATCACGAGGTCAGGAGATCAAGACCATCCTGGCTAATAACACGGTGAAACCCCGTCTCTACTAAAAAAAAAAAAAATACAAAAAACTAGCCAGGCGAGGTGGCGGGCGCCCGTAGTCCCAGCTATTCGGGAGGCTGAGGCAGGAGAATGGCGTGAACCCGGGAGGCAGAGCTTGCAGTGAGCTAAGATCTGGCCACTGCACTCCAGCCTGGGCGACAGAGCTAGACTCCGTCTCAAAAAATATATATATATATATACACACACACACACACACCCCCATACATATATATACACATGTATACACATACATATATACACATATACACACACACATATATGCGCGCCAAGACCAACAGAGTTCCTAAAGAAGGAAGTCCAACAGCTCTTAAGCACATGACAGTGAACTCAGAAACGTACTTATTTCTCACCTTTTCAATTAGCAGAAGTCCAAAGTTTGAAAACTACTCTATTAGTGAAGCTATTCGGAAAACAGGGACTCATATAGCTATTGGGAATGTAAACTGGTACAACCCTATAAATAACTGAGCAACATCTATCAAAATGACATGCATATATCCTCTGACCTAGCAATATCACTTCTGGGAATTTAGCCTACAGATATTCATCGTGCAAGGCTGTTCATTACCGCAATGCTTATCACTGCAAAAGAACAGAAATACAACAGATATCCAACCACAGGGGACTAAATTATTATGGTATTATTCAATACCAACCATACAATAGAATACCAGGTATTTGAAAAAATAAAAAACAAAGAATGTTCTGTCCTAGTAAGGAACGATCTTCAAGCTCTACTATTACATGAAAAAGCAAGATATACAACAGTGTGTGTAGAATGCTCTTCTGAGGAAGAAAAAAAGGGGGGGGGAGGTAGTAAGAATGTCTTTTTATTTGCTTGAATTATTAAAGAAATGCCTCTTTGTATATTATTTTTGAACCGTGTGAATGTACTACCACTTTGGGTAGACTGCGTAATTGGCCCCGATTCTTCACCCCTCCCTGTGTCCACACCCTTGCCGCCATGGCCTCACTGTGGGCAGAAAGTACTTTCCCACCCTTTGACTTAGCTTGGTCATTTGACTTGCTTTGATTAATGATATAGGGGTGGAAATGATGGTATGCCAGTGGCTTGCCAGAAATCAGAATGTGGCTTTACATATGAAATCTACAGTATCTTATGCTATTGTATGTAAAGCCACAGTACTCAAGTCATTACGGCACTGGTATTGTATTTCACAAATTGTACACTGGATGAAAATACAGAATCCTGAATTAGATCCCAGAATATATTCGAGTTTAACATGAGAGCTCAGTTCAATTCAGTAGAAAAAGACTGATTGGCTGGGCATGGTCACTCACACCTGTGATCCCAGCACTTTGGGAGGCCAAGGCGGGCAGACTGAGCCCAGGACTTTGAGACCAGCCTGGGCAACATGGAGAAACCCTATCTCTACAAAAAATACAAAAATTAGCCAGGTATGGTGGCACATGCCTATAGTCCCAGCTACTCAGGAGGCTGAGGTGGGAGAATCACTTGCCCCAGGAGGTCAAAGCTCCAGTGAGTTGTAATTGCACCATGGCACTCGACTCTGGGCAATGGAGCGAGGCCCAGTCTCAAAAAAAAAAAAGAAAAAGGCAATGTTTAATAGTGCTGGCACAACTAGGCTACCCATCTAAAGAAAATAAAATTGAACCTTTATCTTATACCAGATACAAAAATAAATTCACTGCAGATTAAGGAATAAGGGTAAAAAAAATTAAAATCGCAAAAAAAGAAGAAAACACATGCACTATCAAGAACCAAGGAGACTTCCCCTAGTGAAGTCTGCAGACCTAGAAGGTATTTTAAAAAAGACATAACTGATGATCTAAAAATGAAAAATGTATGTATAAAAAATTTTTTTCAAAAGAGAAAAGAGGAAATATTTGCATGGAAAATGATACCACAAAGTCAAAAGACAAAAGATTACTCTGGAAAAAATTATTTTCAATGCAGTAGACAAGATTAGTAGTTAAAATATACAAAGGGCCAGGCACGGTGGCTCATGCCTGTAATTCCAGCACTTTGGGAAGCTGAGGCAGGTGGATCACTTGAGGGTGCGAGTTTGAGACCAGCTGTCCAGCGTGGCGAAACTCTCTCTACTAAAAATACAAAAATTAGCCAAGTGTGGTGGCAGGCGCCTGTAATCCCAGCTACTTGGGGGGCTGAGGCAGGAGAATCACTTGAACCAGGAAGGCAGAAGTTGCAGTGACCTGAGATCCCACCACTGCACTCCAGCTCCAGCCTGGGAGACAGAGTGAGACTCCATCTCAAAAAATAAATGTATGCAAAGAACTCCTACAGATTGACAAGAAAGGAGTTTCCACTTCTGGTAATGACAAGGGAACTTGTATCAGACCAACCCTCATGTAAATTCTGAGTAAAATGTTTACAATGATCTGAGCGCACTGGCAGGAACTGGAAAACAACACTTAGAAAAACAGAACAACACTGGGTGACGTACGCATCTTTATAAGATTTTTGCCTAAAGCTCCAGGGATAGAAATCTAGCACCATGGGGACCCCACATTCTGAATATAGTATCTTCCCACATCTCTGGCCTCCCCCGAACCACACGTGCACAAAGCAGACACAAAGCAGCCCAGTTACGGCTAAAAAAAGCAGAGATTTCAGTTACTGCCCATCAAAGGGGATGTAAGCTTAGCCAAGTAAACTACCTAAGAAAACCAAATAATTAAAGAACTTAAAAGAATTCATCATCTCTGGCTGGGTACGGTGGCTCAAGCCCATAATCCCAGCACTTTGGGATACCGAGGCAGGTGGATCACCTCAGGTCAGGAATTTGAGACCAGATTGGCTAACATGGCGAAATTCCATCCCTCCTAAAAATACAAAAATTAGCAGGTGGTAACGCACACCTGTAATCCCAGCTACTCTGGAGGTTGAGGCAGGAGAATCACTTGAACCTGGGAGGTGGAGGTTGCAGTGAGCAGAGATTGCACCACTGCACTCCAGCCTGGGTGACAAAGCAAGACAGTCTTTTTTAAAAAAAAAAAAAAAAAAAAGAAAGAAAGAAAGAAAAAACTAATAGTCTGTGGGAAATACCATTCACACTGCCTACAATACAACCTCTACGTTGGAGTGTAAAGAAAATGTGACCCAGATGTGACAACTGCACAAAAGGACCTTAAAGCAGCTCTTATAACTATGCTCAAGGATGTCAAGAAGTCTCAATAGAACAGAAATTATAAAAGAGCACAAATCCTACATCTAAAAATACTACATTGAAATTTCAACATTTCATCCTCTTTAAATGGCAGATTGGAGAGAGATGAGGGCATCTATCAACTTGAAACTGGATACACACAAATTATTCAATTTGAAGAACAAAGACAAAAAAAAATTAGGGAAAAAAAATGAAGAGAGCCTTAGGAACCTGCCTGACAATATGAAAAGGTTATGTGTATAGCTGGTGTCCCAGACGGACAGGAGAAAAAGAATGGGGTAGAAAAAACTCGGAGGAGGCCGGGTACGGTGGCTCATGCCACCAATTCCAGCACTTTGGGAGGCTGAGGCAGGAGGATCACTTGCTCCCAGGAGTTTGAGGCTGCAATGTGCTATGATGGCACCACTGCACTCCAGCCTGGGTAACAGAGCAAGACCCTATCTCTAAAAATAAATAAAAAACATCCGTGTATTTCGCTGTATATAATTTATATATAAATTTTTAAAAAGCAAGTGTTTTTATCCAAAAACTGCTTGGCTCAGAGTAATTCTTCTATAAATGTTAGTCGTTATTCTGCTAAATCACAGAACATCAGTTTAGAAATCACTGGACTGGGCGCCGTGGCTCACACCCCTGTAATCACAGCACTTTGGAGGCTGAGGCGAGCTGATCACCCGAGGTGAGGAGTTTGAGACCAGCCTGGCCAACATGGCAACACCCCATCCCTATTAAAGATACAAAAATTAGGCAGGCATGGTGGCAGGTGCCTGTAATTCCAGCTACTTGGGAGCCTGAAGCACGAGAATTGCTTAAACCCAGGAGGCAAGGGTTGTAGTGAGTTGACATCACGCCACTGCACTCCAGCCTGGTGACAGAGACTCCATCTCAAAAAAAAAAAAAAAAAAAATAGTGTTCTTTGAACACGCTTCTTCCCTACCTTTGGGGCTTAGCACAGGTTTGGTGTTGTCTGGAATGTTCTTGTCTCACACCCCTCCTAGGATCATGGCTACTCATTCCTCTGGCCTTAGCCTAAATGGTATTTCCTCCGGTAAGGCTCGCCTGACGCTCCCAGGCCAACAGTCAAAGTAATATATCCTATTACACATCCCCACAGCACCCTGGGCTGCCAGCCTTGCTGCTGTAATGAAATTGCACTTCTTCGACTATTGTCCATTTCCCCCAGGGCACTAAAAGTCAGAAGGGCACCGGCTTTGTTCTGCTCACTGCTCAGTTCCCTATACTCAGCACAGGGCCAAGGACCCAGCTGCTGGGGACAAAAAGCAGAGAGGAGTGTCTCCCACTCCTGCCTTCCCCTTCCCCGCATACCGCTTGGCTCGTTCCAGGTCGTCGTTAGCTTGCTCCAGCTCTCTGATGTATTTCTGCAATTGGTCTTTAATGGCTTTGGTCTGTGCGAGGTCATCCTCCAAGGCTGAGATCTGCCGGTAGCCTTCAGAGTGCTGCACTTCAAACTTCTCCTGAAGGACAACACAGACACTGGGTGAATGACTTCTGAGGCGGCTAGATGCAGTAGCACATACCCACCTGGAGTCACAGTTACTCGGGGGGCTAAACTGGGAGGACTGCTTGAGCCCAGGAGTTAGAGCCTGCAGTGAGCTATGACTAACACTGCACTCCAGCCTGGGCAACATATCAAGACCCTGTATCTTTTTATTTATTTATTTAGAGACCGAGTCTCACTCGGTTGCCCAGGCTGGAGTGCAGTGTCGAGATCTTGGCTCATGGCAACCTCTGCCTCCCAGGTTCAAGCAATTCTCCTGCCTCAGCCTCCCGAGTGGCTGGGAATACAGCCACCCACCACCAAGCCTGGCTAATTTTTTTATTTTTAATAGAGACCGGGTTTCACGATGTTGCCCAGGCTGGTCTCGTACTCCTGACACCTCAAGTGATCCACACACCTCGGTCTCCCAAAGTGCCGGGATTACAGGTGTGAGCCACGGCGCCCGGCCTGACTGTCTCTTTATGAAACTCCTCCTCCCACCACACTCCCTGGGGAGGCTCCAGGCTTTCTGTCCCACCCTCCCACCACAATCCAGAGACAAGCTAGGCTCAGGCAACAGAACCTTCTTCTCTCCAAAGAGCTGACTCTCAGGCAAGTGACGTAATGTGGTGGGAACAGGCAGGTGTCATTCAGAGCAGGCACAAGGAATCAACTGTTTTAATTACGTCCTGAGTGCCTCCACCCCCCCGAGCACCTTGAATCCTGCCTACACTCAACAGGGTTGAGATTCCTATAGCCCCCAACATTCTTCAGACAAATCATTCTGCCCAAGGTGTCCACAGCCAAAGAAAGCCACAGAAACCTCTCCAAGCCTCATCCACAGGGCAACGTGGGTCTCCTTCACACACACTATCAGTGTATTACAAAGAGAGTCACCAGCCTGGCCCACAAAGTGAGACCTAGTCTCTACAAAATACACAAATTAGCAGGGCGTGGTGGCTCTCGACTGTAGTTCTAGCTACTCAGGAGGCTGAGGTGGAAGGATCATTTGAGCCTGAGAGGTCGAAGCTGCAGTGGGCTGTGATGGCACCACTGCACTCCAGCCTGGGCAACTCCCTGCTGTCTGAAAAAAAAGAAAGAAAGAAAGAAATCATAATGATGTCCATTGTTTGTGCCCACAAGAATGGGAAGGCAGCATGTACTGGTTTTACAACAGTCAACCATTCTCAATGTTTGATCCAGGACTCCCCGTTGTAGCACGGAGAAAGAAGGAAGAGTTTGATCTCTAGGTTACTTAAAAACATAAAGACAGGCCGGGCACGGTGGCTCACACCTGTAATCCCAGCACTTTGGGAGGCTGAGGCGGGCAGATCACCTGAGGTCACAGGAGTTCGAGACCCACCTGGACAACATGGTAAAACCCGGTCTCTACTAAAAATACAAAAAAATTAGCCAGGCGTGGTGGTGCGTGCTTATAATCCCAGTTACTCAGAAGGCTAAGGCAGGAGAATCGCTTGAACCCGGGAGGCGGAGGTTGCGCCACTGCACCCCAGCCTGGGCAATAAGAGTGAGACTCCGTCTAAAAAAAAAAAACAAAAAACCAGAAACACAAAGAAAGAAAAAGAGGCAGGGAGAAAGGGAGGGGATAAGAGGGGGCAGGAAGAGAGAGGGAGGAAGGGAGAGGGAAGGAAAGGGAGAAAGAGAGATCTATGTTAATTACCAAAGGAACAGTCCAGCTCACTTCTCAATGATTCCCTGTTGCCAGCTGCAGCAATAACATCCATTACATGCTTATTCTGTGCCGGCCTCCGGGTTACGTACGCCACCTATCTTGTCTCATTCATCCCGCTTCAGACATGAGCACTGAGGCTCAGTTCCTTAACTAGCCCAACTGGTAGCAAATGACTGAGCCAAGATCAAACCCCAGCCTCCTGAGCAGGTGTCCTTAAGCAATTATGCTAACAAACCCTCAACCATTTCCATCCAGATCACCTGCCAACTCCCGTGCTCTCTCGATTCTGTTCCCGCTCTGCTTCCAAATTACTTTCCTTCACCAAACACTCAGAGCCAGGTGCGGTGCCTCCTGCCTGCAATCCCAGCACTTTCAGGTGGCAGAGGCAGGAGGAACGCTTGAAACCTGGCGTTCTTGACCAGCCTGGGCAAGACTCTGCCTCTACAAAAAATCTGAAAATAGCCAGGCATGGTGGCGTGCATCTGTAGTCCCAGCTGCTTGGAAGGGTGAGGCGAGAAGATTGCTTGAACCCAGGAGGTTGAGGCTGCAGTGAGCTATGATCACGCCACTGCACTCCAGCCCAGGCCACAGAGTGAGACCACAACACTTAAAAAAAGAAAAAGGAAAAAGCACAAAAAAAAAACCAGAAACACCCCAAAATCACCAGCCTGGCAAGATGGCGAAACCCTGTCTCTACTGAAAAAAACAAAAAATTAGCCAAGCATGGTGGCGGGTGCCTATAATCCCAGCTACTTGGGAAGCTGAGGCAGGCGAATCACGTGAACCCGGGAGGCGGAGGTTGCAGTGAGCTGAGATCGCGCCATTGCACTCCCGCCTAGGCAACAAGAGTAAAACTCTGGCGGTGGTGGGGGATGGAGAGTGGGGCGTGGGGTGGGTGACTGGGAGGGGGCAGGCAGGCACACTGACCAACTGTTTCAATTATGTCCTGAGTGCCTCCCACCTCCCACCCCCTGAGCACCTTGAATCCTGCCCACTCCCAAATCTGGTTCCTACAGCCCCCAACAATCTTCAGACAAATCATTCTGCCCAAGGTGTCCACAGCCAAAGTCACAAGGACCTCTCCAAACCTCATCCACAGCGACAACGCAAGCCTCCTTCCCACATTATCACTGTATTACAAAGAGGCACCAGCCTGGCCCACAGAGCCAGACTCGGTCTCTACAAAAAATAAAAATTAGCAGGGCATGGTGGCCTCACCTGCAGTCCCAGCTACTCAGGAGGCGGAGATAGGAAGATCATTTGAGCCTGGGAGGTTGAAGCTACAGTGAGCGGTGATTGCACCACTGCACTCAAACCCGGGCAACAGAGTGAGACCTTGCCGTTTCAAAAAAAAAAAAAAAAGGAATCTCAATGACTTCTGTTCTTTGTGCCCACAACAATGGGAAGGCAGCATGTACTTGGTTTATACAACAGTTAACTATTCTCAATTTTTCATCCAGGACTCCCCGTTGTAGCATGGAGACAGAAGGAACATTCCAATCTCTGGGTTATTTAAAAACAAAGGCCGGGAGTGGTGGCTCATGCCTGTAATCCCAGCACTTTGGGAGGCTGAGACAGGTGGATCACCTGAGGTCGGGAGTTCGGAGACCAGCCTGGACAACATGGTGAAACCCTGTCTCTACTAAAAATGCCAAAAAATTAGCCAGGTGTGGTGGTGTGTGTCTATAATCCCAGCTACTCGGGAGGCTGAGGGAGGAGAATCACTTGAACCCAGGAGGCGGAGGTTGCAGTGAGCAGAGATTGTGCCACTGTATTGCAGCCTGGGTGATGAGCAAGACTCAGTCTCAAAAAAAAAAAACAAAAAACAAAGAAGGGAGAAGGAGGAAGGAAGAGGAAGAAGGGATCAAGGAGAGAGGGAGGAAGAGAAAGGGAAAGAAAAGGAGGAGAGATTTTGTTAATTACCAAAGAACAGTCCAGTTCACTTCTCAATGATTCCCTGTTGCCAGCTGCAGCAATAACATCCATTACATGCTTATTCTGTGCTGGCCTCCAGGCTACGTACACTTCCTATGTTGTCTGGTTTAATTCCACTTCAGAAACATCAACACTGAGGCTCAATTACTTACCAAGCCCAGAGACCCATCGGTGGCAAATGACTGAGCCAAGATCAAACCCCAGCCTCCTGAGCAGGTGTCCTTAAGCAATTATGCTAACAAACCCTCAACCATTTCCATCCAGATCACCTGCCCACTCCCGTGCTCACTCAATTCTGTTCCCGCTCTGCTTCCAAATTACTTTCCTTCACCAAACACCCAGAGCCAGGTGCGGTGCCTCCTGCCTGTAACCCCAGCACTTTAGGTGGCAGAGGCACACTAGCCTAGGCAACATAGCAAGACTCTGTCTCTACAGAAAACTGAAAAACAGCCAAGCGTGGTGGCATGCACCTGTAGTCCTAGCTATTTGGGAAGCTGAGGCAGGAGGACTGCTTGAGGCCAGGAGGTTGAGGCAGCAGTGAACTATGATCATGCCCCTGCACTCTAGCCCAGGCCGACGCTTTAAAAAAAAAAAAAAAATCACCAGCCTGGGCAACACGGTGAAACCAAAATACAAAAATTAGCCCGGCATAGTGGTATACGGCTATAGTTTCAGCTACTTGGGAGGCCGAGGTGGGTAGATCACTTGAGGTCAGGAGTTCGAGACCAGGCTGGCCAACACGGTTAAACCCCCGTCTCTACCAAAAATACAAAAAAAAAGCTGGGTGTGGTGGCATGTGCCTGTGGTCCCAGCTACCCAGGAGGCAGAGGCAGGGGAATCACTTGAGCCTGGGAGGCGGAGGTTGCAGTAAACCAAGATCGTGCCCTTGCACTCCAGCCTGGGTGACAGAGACCCCCATCTCAAAAAAAAAAAAAAAAAATCAAAACTGAAAACACAAAACACCCATCCTAGATTCTACAAATGTGAGAGACAACAGTTCCCACAAGAAAGGCACAAGGTCTAATTTAAAAGTTAAAAAGGCCAACTCCTCGTTACTCAATCAAGTAAACAAAGCTGTTGCTAGAAAGTCCGGATGCACCCAGGAGGGTGATGTAATGGTGCCTAGGCCAGAGAGGCGTGGCGAGAGCCATTGTGCAAGAAGACTCCAAAGAAAGAACAAGCAGATGATTTACAACGTTGGAAGGATGGGGAGGGCGGACCACATGCCCCCACCCGCCCGCACCACCCTCCCCATTTCCTGGCTGTAAGCAGAGAAGTATCTGCACCCAGCAAGTAGAGGCAGACCAGGCCCCGTTCCCAGGCGTGGCTCTCATCGCCTCATACCCTTT